GACCTTGACAAGGTCAGGGGAAGGACATTCAGCATAAAGTGTCCTTAACCTTCACCCAAGTGTCTGCCCCAGCCCATTTCTTAACCCTTCCCTCACCTTGCAGGGGATGGCAAATCCAGATTACAGGCAGAAAGGGGAACAAGAAAGCACATAGATTTGACATGAAACCATCGAAAGTAAATTCTAAAATGGCAGCTGCACAATGTTGCTCTTAAATTTAGAATCTTAAAAAAAAAAGATACCTGGGACCCACAGTAGTGGCCACAAGATACGTGGTATGTTACATGGCTCTGCAATTCATCACCCAGTGTCTTCTAGCCTCACTTTCTGGATTTGAAAGCAGAAAAGCATGTTCCTTGAGGATAAAAAAATGGGCCTTCCTGGATGCTACTCCATCAGCTTGGATCCAAATTCTGCCTGAAGAAAGTGAGTGCAGCACTACCAAAGGTTTGGTGAGCTGGGACAATTTAAGATTCAAGGCAGTTTAAATCATTCATTATTTAAGATAATGGAAAAGTTCTCAAGTGCCAAGCTGATGAAATATCTACCAATTAGCAGAATTAGTACTTGAAATAGAAGCAGCAGTGCAAAATGAAAACCAGGAATGCTTCAAATAGATTTTGGAAAGGAATTTGCTAAAGGAGAGGGTCATACGGATGGAAATTTATCAAAATAACCTGAGTGAACACACCTTTATTGGAATTAAAAGGTTTCCTTTCTGTCCTTCCTTTCTGATTTAAGCTTCTAAAATGGTCTGATGCAAATAAAACGCACACAGCCCCATTGCTGTAGTGTGCTACGCTTCCTTCAGCACAGGCTTAAGGTCAATTCCTATAGAAACAAAAATTGTGGGGCTTTTCTTACACATCAGCTCAACACAACTCACACTAGATGCTCATATGACCACATATGACTAATCCATTATTCTCTCATTTACACTAAATCAGCAACAACACGCTGCGCCTTGCATCAGATATTCACCAACACATGTTCTCATGGAATTCTTGGGAATAAAGCACGAGGAAGACTTACGGACCTCACTCAAACTTGCCTAAACTTATACAAAAGAAATCCCTATGGTATTTGTCAAATAATGCAGGATTCTAGCATAGACTGCTCTAAATAACAGTCAAAAGGATAGGAAAGTTATCCTGAACAGAAAATAAATTAAGACAAACTGGCAATGTTTTCTTCTCAGTGGGCTTTAAGCCATTAATTTTTATGCTAATGCAATCATAGAAAGAGAAATGGAATAGAAGAAATACTCTTTCCATTTTCATCTACTGTGTGGGTCTCTGTGGCAACACTCTCACAGAGCACAGTCACCTTGAACCAGAAAAAGTCAGTGAAGAAATTGAAACATATTTTCTCTCAGATCACCATAAGGAATTAATTAACAAAAACCCCACCAAACAAACCAGGAGTCTGCATATCTGGATGGTGCATGAGAAATAGCATAACCACATGGGATGTGGTCAACAGTAGACTACAGTTAAAAATACAGCATACAGTGCTTGTTCTAAACCTACACCTGATGTGAAATTATTTATATAGGGAGCAAAAAGGATACCACAAAGCTGAAAATCTGTTTTTTGCTCAAGTCATGGTATCTGTGCTCAGCACTACTGCAATGGGCAGAAAATCATAGTTTGCTACAAGTAGTGCAAGACCAGATGCTCTTAACCAATCACTGTCACAAGCTGTTTGTCAGAATTACCTAGGAGGAGAAAATCAGTGAGGCTAAAATTACAAGTTTCCTGCATATGGAGCAATGCATGAAAAGCAGGCTAGTCACAACGGTGAGGCCACCAACCAGATAGTGACCAGCGCAGAGACTGCTGCACAGCAGCCAAGTGTGCCAGTACTGCTCCAATAAGCAAATGGAAGTGGCAAAAGGCTACACTTCCATGAGATGACTAGCAGTGTATGTGCAGACAGTAGGGGAAAGGAAGGAGAGAAGCACGTAGCCATAGAAATCCTACAACAGAAGCGTTAAGGATGTACTACAAACATACACAGACCACTACCTGCTCTCTTATCTCATCCAAACAGCACTGGGAGAGAAGTGACCTGTACTTTTAGAAGTCTGCATTATTGAGCAAAAAGGCTACTCAAAGCATCAGCTTTAAGAAGAAACATGTAATTTCTTTCCGAATATTACTAGAAATGAGGACTCAAAAGCCACACCTGAAGACAGACACCGTTTGGGGAAAAGGGGAAGCTTACACAACCCTTCAGAGGGCCCTCAGCCCAGGCTGAAAGCATGAGATGCCCCTTGTGCGCACCCCTCAGGTTCATACTGCAGGTCAAGATTGCTCTAACGCTTAGGAGCAAGGGAGCTGCATGCAGACTCTTGACTGCAGGCCCCCAGTGTCATGCAGAAGTGGAGAAGAGGTTCCCAGAGGGTAACCCCATTCACCACATACAGAGAATGCTATGCTCTCTAATCTACCTTCCGCTTTATCAGAAGTATTCCGTCATACAGAAACAACATATAACTGCGAAGAGTTGAAGAATATCTCAAACCAGCTAGAAAAGCAAATCCAACTCTACCCTCTTCACAGAGGAAGACACCATGTGCTCAGTGAACCAACTACTAGAAGTTTTCTATTAGAGCTGGAAGTCTCTAGCATACATGTCTCTTTATAACTAAATGATCAGGAAACTGTGTCTCAACCTGTGGGCACATTGTCCATCCATTCCTGGAAGATTTTGTCCCAAGTTGTAGCACTCCCTATGAAGAAATCCATTTTTTTTCTAGGTAAAAAAAAATATACAGACATGTTATCTGTTGCTTTTCCAGTTACTTCTTCCCTGCAACGTCGGAATTTTGAAGCAAGTATCTGCAGGTTCTCAGTTCACAACATTTGGGATCATTCTTTCTTATTCCACTGGGATTTTACTGTAACTTTTTCCATATCAACAGAGGAGACAAATACACTTGCTCTATTAGCCTGCATGTGTTCAATGTATGTCTGTGCAAGAGGCAGGCATGTGCAAAGGCACAAAAGTTCATTCTTGCAGGCATATTTCAAAGGTAAGTATCCTAAGGCAAGAACAGCAGTTCCACGTAACATTTTGGTCAAAAAAACCCCAAAGACTTGGGTGTCATTAGGGCAGAGCAGTTTTTTCCAACAGCCTGCTTGTATCATGAGCTCTCTAGAGAGTCTCATGAAAATGAAAAAAGGAAGAGAACAAGTGCGCTGGTCTGGCAGTGTCCATGTCCTTCCCCCAGCATGGGGAAAATGAAGACTGCCTACAGTGCAATACGAGAAGACTAATCACTCAATCTACGAGCTGTGGAGAAAGGTTTGGTCCTCAAATGGAAATACAAGTAAATAAACTAAACCCTACTTTCCCACATGGAAGATAGTTATCCTTTGGAATAGTTAGATAAAAACATTGCTCTAGCCTAAAACTGTCTCTACTCCAGTACCAGATGGTAAAGGGCTACTGCATGCAACAACATACTGCCTTGGGAATGGCCTATTTGACCTCCAGAACTAAAGGATGACCATGCACACACAGAGTGAAATTGAAATGGGGAAAAAAATAATTCCTGTCAGAAGGGAACAGGAGAGTGTGTTGCCCTCAGGGATGTGGACTGGACTCTTAACACAAGACTCAGTTTCCATTCTGTCCAAATATGAACATCTGGAGGCTCCTTCTTCCCCACTCCTCTTCCCAGATCAGCCGTCAGCATCTGCCCCAGTGGGGAGACAAAGAGATTTCCATTGGGTCTGCTGGGTATCATCAGTCACTGACAACTGCTCTGTGCAGCTTTGATACCCAAGAGCATTCTGCACTGAAGAGAACAAAATAGTCAGAGGCATTCAACCTAGACAGGCTGGAGAGTTTGGCAGGAAAAAATGACCTAGACAGGCTGGAGAGTTGCATGGGGAAAAAGTTTATGGAATACAACAAGGGCAAGTGTAGAGTCTTGGATCTTGGATAGAACAACCCCAAGTACCTGTATAGGTTGGGGACTGACCTGCTGGAGAACAACGTAGGGGACAGGGACCTGGGGGTCCTGGTGGGCAGCAGGATGCCCATGTGCCAGCAATGTGCCCTCGTGGCCAAGAAGGCCAATGGCATCCTGGGATGTATTAGGAGAGGTGTGGCTAGGAGGTCAAGAGAAGTTCTGCTGCCCCTCTACTCTACCCTTGGTGAGGCTGCACCTGGAATATTGTGTTCAGTTCTGGGCCCCTCAGTTCAAGAAGGACAGGGAACTGCTTGGAAGAGTCCAGTGCAGAGCCACAAAAATGATGAAGGGAGGGGAACATCTCCCTTATGAGGAAAGGCTGAAGGAGCTGGGTCTCTTTAGCTTGGAGGAGACTAGGGGGTGACCTCATTAATGTTTATAAATATGTAAAGAGTGAGTGTCAGGAAGACAGAGCCAGGCTCTTCTTAGTGATGTCCAATGACAGGACAAGGGGCAATGGGTACAAGCTGGAGCATAGGAGGTTCCACAAAAACATTAGGAAAAACTGTTTCACTGTGAGGGTGACAGAGCACTGAACAGGCTGCCCAGGGAGGCTGTGGAGTCTCCTTCTCTGGAGGCATTCAAAACCTGCCTGGACACATTCCTGTGTGGCCTGCCCTAGGTGATCGTGCTCTGGCAGGGGGGTTGGTTGGACTAGATGATTTTTCGAGGTCCCTTCCAATCCCTAACATTCTGTGATGTGTCACACTTTAGCAAGGCCTTAGTCTTTATAATCCACAGCACTGAACAGTTCTCCGCACTTCAGAGAAAGAAAATCTCCACACTTCAGAAAAAGAAATCTTGCTGATACAACAGTGCACTTGGCTAGCTGTGTGATGTACAAGGTCCATGTAAGGAACATTAAGATCCCACCCGGGGCTCCATAATGATACACTGAACATAATTTCCACCACAAGACAGGGCTGTGGTTTTACCCTGGGAGGGGATAGGCATCAGAGAAAGCAGCTGCCTTCTGTTCAGATGGGGGAGACAGTGAAATGGGAAAGCAAGAACTTACCTTCACTCCATCTGACTTTTTGTTCAAAGGCTTTTGGCAGCTGTGGAGAGAAGCACAAGTAGGTCAGACTGTGTTTTCAAGACTATTCTCTCTAGCCCTTCCCTACTCCCTCAAAACTGCATGAGATTTCAGAAGGACAATCCTTCTGCCAACAGCAAAAGACCTGGAAAACAGGCTAAGTCACTCATAAAATCCATCTTAATAGCAGTCACCCATCATATCTATCGTTCACCTATTTAGGAAAAAACGCTCCCACTTTCACCATCTCAGGAAGACCAAGTCTGAAATGAGACTTTAGAGCTCCTCTATTTCAATCCTCCACTCATACCCTGACTCCATCCATAAGTGCCAACAGTTACAGAGGGAAAAGCTTAAGAAATCTGCCAGGTCTCTGCAACAGGATAAAGGCAAGTGCAGTCATTCACATAACAGGCTTTGCTTATAAAGGGGACACTGATAACACAGAGGCCTCCTAATTACTGCTATTCACAGTCACTCTGGGGAAACATCTGGATAGCTGAGGATACTGGAAAAGTGCAAAGGCAGCATCTGATAACTGCTAAAAAAAAAAAGAGAATGAAAGAGACAGAACTAGGCTGAATTTCGTCACTGAAAGATAAAGATGCTCTGCTGTGCTCAACTTGAACAACTGGCACTAGCAATGAAAGCAAGAGCACAATAAGCACATGCATGGAGCCCACAGCAAATGCCTGGGGCAACGCATGCTTGGCGCTGATGAAGGAGGTGCTCCATCTCTTACAGAAAAATGGTATGTTGACAATGGCTGTCAACAGTAAGACCCCATCTACAACCTCAACTGATATAAAACATAGCTTGCCTACTCATAAAGAATGCATTCAGTTGTTTCAACTTCTGTAAACAGCACACTAGGGACCTACTGGACCAACACACTTCTCCCGCACTGTTGCTAGGAAGCATATGGGTCTGGGTGCTTGACCTGGATTTTAACCCCAGTCAAGATGAGGCCTAGAGAAAAGGCAAGTCCTAAGACAAAGCTCACAGGACTGCTGCAATGCTTCACTCCCAAAGACATGCTGATCAACTCCCGCACAGAGTGCTCAGTTTCCCTCTAGAAGCGCCACCATTACGCAAAAAAAGTTTTTGCAATATCCAAGCAACTGTTCAAGTTTTATGTCAAAAACATTTTCCACCTTGCATTCCCTACCTGTGACCCTATGGATAAGGATCAAGTAGACAATATCAGCTGAACATATTAGAAAATTACTACAGTGTCTCCTCATATTAAAAAGGTGACACTCCATATATAACAATCTCTGAATTAATCTTCCTAATTTTTCTCCTAGTGCATATATAAAGCTAGATCAGGATT